AAAAACAACAACCGGAATGGGGGGGGGGGGGGGAGTGGTCACCGAGGAACAGGTGAGCATATCTTCTTAATTTTCATTCCTGTCTAAAAATCAACTTGAATTATCAGATCCAAGAAATAATATTGACAGCATTTAATTTACTACTGAAGCACAGATTTAACTCATTGTCATTGATGCAAATCACAAAATCTCATAGTTGAGTGGGGGCCCTTTCCCTATAACAATCAAGTCACATATATAGCGACCAAACCAGTAGATACCAGTTGCTAAAAGGGTTTCTACCTGAGCAGATGTGTATCTCCTCCCACCAACCCATACATAGCTTGGCTTAGGGAGGGGGAACATTTTGCGGCCATAGATGCCCCACAACTCTGCAGAATAGGCCCAAAAAAGAAAAAAAATATGAAAGAGCAAAAACTCTACAGCTGTCACCGGAAACATCTGTAGATATAACGAATAACTGCTGTAAGTTCTTAAATGGTATTTTAGGGCTACAAATGCCTTGTCATGTGGACTAACTGAATACCTGGCTCTTATAGTGCATCTAAAGTAGCCCATGAAAAACTCTTCCCAAATCAAATCTTTAAATTGGAACAAAAATGTATTTTGTCTTAGAACTATGAGGTGAGTGGAAATCACTCATGTCATAGTTCTCCTTTAATAAAACCTGGCAAGAGTTGAAGAAACAAGTCTACCTAATTCCAGTGGCTTCACTAGGGGGGTGCGGCCTGCACCCGGGTGTCACCATTGCAGGGGTGACCCCAAAATGACTGTCATTTTGGGGTCACCCCCCTCCAAAAAGTAGGGCTCTCGGTAATGAACTGAGAGCCCGACAGTGTCAGGAGAGAAGAGGGGACCCCATACCCCATCCTGCCGGGTGAACGTCCCTTCCCCTCTCTGCCGGCGTCCATCACCAAGATGGCCGCCGGCAGGCATCATTCAGATGGTCGCGCATGCGCAGTGATGACACGGCTGGGTGTCACCCGGTCTAGAGACCAGGTGACAATTGGCCTCGGGACGCCCCTGCCTAATTCCACAGTTTTATTTTGTCCTTTGACAAAAGGTAAAGATTACTTAGCACTATACATATGAGTCTCCTCTCAGTGGAGGAGTTTGAATGATTATAAGGAGGGAAGAAAAACCAACACACAAAGGGACGAGGGAGGGGGAAATGATAAGGGAAGAAATAAGAGGGGAGGAATAGGAAAAGAAAGAAGAAGAAAAGAAAATGGAAGGAGAAAAGAAAGAAAGAGGGGTGACCCCGGGGCATAGGGCAATCATGGGTATCTGTAGTAAGGCTTGGTAAAAAAAATGACAGAGGTGGGAGACGATTAAAGTATCAGCAGGCGGTGGTCGAAACCATTTCCCCAGTTTTTTAAACATTGAACCTATACTGGTAACAATAGGTTGTTCTTCAGGAAGCCTTGTAGATTTATGTACTTTAGGTAAATGATGAAAGACGGCTAGAATGGGTGACTCCACACAAAAAAAACTGGCACCTTTTTATAGTTCTACCTAAATTCATACCATATGATATGAGCCCCGCTATCTGTCCTTGGAATTCCTCTGTTGAATCTTCCTCCAAAACCATATACCGTTCAGGTCAGTAATGCTGAGTTGTCAAAGGGCTTTCTTTTTTATAGTCCATGCTGTCCAAAACCACTACCACCCCCCTTTATCAGCATTTCTTATTACAATATTTTTATTTTTTAGGAACTGTACTGTATTGCAGCTCTTTCGTTCATAGAAATATTTGAGTTAGTGGGTTATTCACAAAAGGGTGAAGAGTTTGAGGAAGGCAGGAGAAGTGAACGATCTAGGCCAACATAGCTGATTTGGAAACATTCTCCAATTCATCTCACTTTCCAGTTCAGCTATGTTGTCCTAGATGGTTCTCTTCTCCTGCGCTCTGACTCAACAACTTCCTGGAAAATATCAACCACTGAATTTCCTGAATGTACTGTATAAAAATACTTATCACCCATATACTATTGTTTACTTGAGGGTGTGTAACAGATCTCATGTGACTCACTCCACAATTGATCCAGTATTACCGGACTATCTGACATGCTGTAATAAAGGCTTAAAAGAGAACTATGGGGTAAGTGTTATTCCCCATAGTTCTCTGAAGTGTCACAAGAGGACATATACTAGCGTCCTACCGTGACCCAAAGCTCAGTATATTGCAAGCTACAGCTTGCGGTATACTGAGACCGCCGCAGCCGGGACGGATCCCGACATCACTGTCGAGATACACCCAGCTGCGTGAATGACAGCTTTCTCTGCCTATCTAGAGGCAGAGCCAGCTGTACCCGCCCCCTCCCGTTCCTCCAGTTGGCGCTGGAGGGTCAGAGCGGTGGGGGGGGGGGGGGGGGGGTTGGGGGAGTCCCTGCAGGGAGCCGTGACTGACAGTCACCGCTCTCTGTAGGGAGATGATCGGGAAGTGAGCGAGCGACAGTATGTTGGCTCACTTTCCGATCTATTGAGCCGGGATGTGACAGTTTCATTGTCACACGTCACCTCATGAGTTCTCCTTTAAAGATATTTCAAATGCTGATTAAATCACTTACAATGGATGCTGCTCCAGAATCCAGATGTGCCTGTGCTCTTGTTAAGGGAAGCAGTCATAAGCTACCTCTGGCTGCAATGGAGGTTGGAGTGGCAAGGGATCGCTGTGAAGGTTAGTATATCTGGGTTGAAGTCCTTGAAAAATACTGTCAATTTTTCCTAAATAGGGCAGTTGGGGCGATTATGTCTCGGGAATAGGTTGCTTGTGATGTTAATATCTGCTGAAGACAACCCAGAAAACAAATTCATATTAGCGTTTACTGCAAGAGAAAATGTAGTATACTAACTTTTCCAGTGGCCTGTGTCTCATACCTTTCCTCTGTTCTAGTTCTGCATTCTATTTCAATGTCTATGGCATTCCACATTTTACAAGACACTGTGCTTCCTTCCTTCCACCCCTACCCCACTACAGGACAACACAGATGACTCTGTCCCTTCACCTCCAGATGTGATCAGATTAACCCAGGCTTTTCAACAGAACTGCCCTTGTCAATCAGCTTAAGTTGTTTGTCTTCTTTTTGTAGATCACATTAAAGAGAGTACCTGTAGTTTATATCATTACCCTCATCCTGCCAGCAATCTTCATGGTTCTCTTGGATATTGTCAGTATGTTTATACAGATGGAATCTAGTGAAAGGCTTACCTTCAAAATAACCATTGTACTTGGATTTTCTGTGCTCCTTTTGATCCTAAACAACATGCTGCCTACATCTGATACCCTTCCAGTATTAGGTGAGTTCTTTTAACCTTTATCTTACCATCCATATAGTCAGTAAAGATATGTGTTATACCTTCATTGCTTTGGATCTTTTTAAGGACTTGACCTCCCAGCTGCAGAAGTGTTTGTGCATACTAAGTTTAATTTAAAAATGGTGCATGTTCTGTCGTTGGGTGCAATATTTTTCTTGTCATACCCCATGGTGGTATCAACATTTTTTTACCTATGCTGTTTTCATGGCAATGATTTGCACCTATAGTATATTAAAAGAAAGACTGTGTGTAATAGCTCTAAAAGAACTGTACAAAGGTTTTATCTATTTGCTATTTTATGCAAAGTGGAAAAAGTTAGGTTTCAGATGTACTTTCATTTATGTTAGCAAAGTTCTCTTTCTTTCAAAACAGTACAACAGTACATAAAGGAGTTCTAAAGTCACAGCATATACTACCCTGTTATAACATCAGCATTGTAATAGGAATACATGCTAGAGCCATTTTTGTTAATGCAAACAAAGCTTACTTGACAAAATTCCTTTAATGTAGTGAGCACTGCTTTCCATTTGCCCATCACTTTCAGCAGCTTCCTGGATTTCCAATTGCTTTGTATCCCTTTCCCTGCTGCTTGATTGCTTACAGCAAGTAGTGATAATGTCAGTCTCTCCCACTCCTAGACAATCCATTCTCATTATTTCATTTTCTCTCTCTTCCAAAATCTGGTCTCATTCACCCTACCCCACCCACTTTCCAATTTTGCTAACTCCTCCCCCTTTCTACTTCTGACCCATGTTTAACACACATTCACCGTTCATATAATATAAAATAATGTAAAATAAATGTCTGTATCACTCACTGCCATGCTGAGACAGGAATGTAACAATGTTTACAATATGGTAACTTCTTTAAAGAGACAAAAGTTCACTAATTTCTAATCAGAGCATTCAGAGTCAGCTTAATGAGTTTTAAATATCATTTTTAGGAAATGAAAGAAAAATAGTGCAAGAAAATATTTACAGAATCATATTACAAAATGGCATGCACAACAATAAGTCCCATCTGATATTTCAGAGCCACTGACCCTCATAAATGACTCTTTGCATTACTTCATAATTGCAATCTTAAAATGAGAGCTCCAACTACCAATTGCAGCAGTTTCCTTTCAATGTTCAAGAGGGTGCAACAGGGCCAACCCCACCCAATCAAAGGTTCCAAGGGGTGTGTTGATATGTGAGGTGGAGTATTGTATTATTCTCAGCAGACACACCCTTAATGCCAACTGGTCTAAATACATCTATATTTCTATGTGTCAAGGTTTTACATTGCAACTAACAACATATTATTAAACAGAATTAAATGTTTAATTTGTTAGAAACAAAATATGATATGGGTCTCATGCATATTTCACATAGCTAATGTGAGATCATACGTGTTTTATTAGCCTCCAGGACCTTGTAATATAGATGTATTTGATGTCCCTACAATTGGCCTTACCATACATTAGTGTAGCCATTTTTTTATGAAGTTAAACTAAGCTGTGTTCTATCGAATACACTTTAATACAATACAATTTTTCACCTTCTCTAGTTACCCACCATAGACATGAGATTTTAATCTGACTGTTTTTGTCACCAACTTGCAAATTTTGGAGAATTGAGAGTGGCATTCCCAACTTTTACCATGCCCACCAATCACTGTGGATCCATGGCACACTTTGTGTATGGCACTTTATTTAGCCCACAGGAAATTCTCTACCATGTAAGGGCCAATGGGTTGTCTTTGCCACCAGACCCAAGGTTTCCAGTCTTTCCCTGCATTTAGATTATCTTCTCTTGATGATGCAGCTTGGTACCACTTGAGATGTTGAAAAGCCTGACCACTTTAGATAAAAAGTTGCTTTATAAATGATCTTGTCTTTTGTTTAAACTGAAAAGACTATAAGGAGACTATAAGGAGTGAATTAAGGAGACACATCTCTGGCAATAATGCTAACCATGTTAGCATCAATTGTCATGAATTAAAAAATGAATGTTACACAAAATTGAAAGGAGCTTGCAAGGATAGAAATATGGAGGAGGCGCTGTCATAATAAAAATGCTAAACTTGTTAAGTGGAAGTACCTTGTTGTACTCCCACATACCCACAGCAGCCTCTAACACCCTGCTGTTATGGTCAAATCCAGAGACATTCGTACAGGCAAAGATCATCAAGTTCCAGGTATTGTAGAGTGTGATGCTACCTCCTACTCCAACACATCCTTTTGGCCTATAAATTTGATAGATAGCCTCACTGGTCAATAGGAATGTGCAAGAGGCAGGAGGCTAACTCCACACTATTAGGAGTTGCTGAAGCTTTTCCTGTTAATACGTCCAGGTTTTGGCTCTAACAGTAGGGTTTTGGAGGCTGCTTCTGCACTTTTGCATTTAAATTTGAGGAAACCACTCTATACGAGGGTTATGTATTCCATGGCAGTGTTCAGATCTACTTTACAAATCATAATGCTAGCACAGTAGAGACAGCCCCTCCTAAAATTAAAAAGAATGAGAAGCGAGTAGAAATGTTATCCCTTAAAATGCCAACAAACCCTAACCCAGGTAAAAGCAAATTAAATTCCAAGAAGTTTTTTTTTCTTAGCTTATGCTGTGTGAATGGGAACATGTAACAAATGGTAACAGCATTTTATACTGTTAGAATTTGTTTTAATGACAGAGGCTCTTTAAAGGCTGCCATGCAGCTCCTGTGATTACTACTTAGTGGGTCAGATACCGGAGGCATGCAGCTGGTAAGTTTGAAAAGCCTGAACTCTTCAGGCTACCCTCCATGTTTGTTCCAGTTCATTACTGAGTAGTGAAACTAGGATCACACTGACAGCCCCAGTATCCTCATCTTTACAAATAAGTTACAAAAAAAAGTCTGCTTCCATATTGTCCTACATGTTGTCTAATGTGTTATCTGGTTTTTTAGAAACAATTACTCATCATGTTTCAATCTTGCAATTGCAGGTATATTCTGCCTTGTGTGTATGGCGGTCATGGTATTTAGTCTAATTGGATGTGTCACTATTTCCTACACGTTAATGCTGTCTAAATCTCAGAGCAATGTCCCATCTTGGGTAAAGACCTGGATCTTGACATACTTGGCAACCCTTCTCTGCTTTAAGTCCTTTAGCAAATATGGAATAAACATCAATCAACCAGAATCGGATTCAGAAACCTGTAAGTAGTGTTTGTTACAATGAGATCAAGTGGAATAAAGTGGGTTTGAGTATACTGTATAAAATGTGCACCTGATGCTGTTGTCTTAAAGGAGAACTATGGGGTTAGTGTTTTTCCCCATAGTTCTCCTCAGCGTCACAGGAGGACATGAACTAGTGTCCTCCCACGACCCAAAGCTCAATATACCGCAGGCTACAGCTCGCGGTATACTGAGACCGACGCAGCCGGGATGGATCCACCCAGCTGTGTGAGTGACAGCTGGCTCTGCCTATCTAGAGGTAAAGCCAGCTGTACCCACCCCCTCCCCTGTCCGTTCCTCCAGTCAGCGCAGGAGGAGCGGGGAGAAGGGAATCCCTGCAGTGAGCCGTGAGTGACAGTCACGACTCTCTGCAGGGACAGGATCGAGAAGTGAGCGAGCGACGGTATGTGTATACTCACTTTACCCATGCTTCTTGTCCACTCTCTTCTCCATCGGAGCTAATGGTAATATCTAGCACTTCTAGGTATGAGGGAGCATGCAACCTTTTTTCCCTGTGATACTGCTCAGTTCTACCAGCCAGACTTTTGGCCTGTGATGTCACCACTCCCCCATGTCATCAACATCACTGATTTCAGTGCTACCTGGGGGAAAACAATTAGTGACAAAGGAGCGCAGACGGGCAAGTTGGCAGTGTATCTATAAATAATACATTTTTTTAAAGAATTCTACATATCAGACGAAAAAGAGGGACAACTGAGAGGACAGAGGGACAGAGGGAATAGGTCCCAAACAGGAGCTATGCATGTTGTCAGTTGGATAGTGCAAGTTTTCCAGGTATTCTTTACATCTGCTTATGTTGTCCACTTCACAGATTCTAATAACAGAGTAATAAAGACAAATTCTGAGAGGAGAAACAAGAAACAAAGATCTAATGAAGAGAGTCTTGAAGTGAAGCTCCTTAAGAAGCTGTTGAAAGAAATCCTAAAGATCCATGCAGAATTTGTGGAATCTAGGAACAAGCAGGAGTTCAAGTCAGAATGGCATGCTGTAGCCCTTGTCATTGACCGCTTTGTACTTATCTCCTACCTAATTATTGTAACAGTTCTGTTTGCCACTGTAATCATTATTTGGGCATCATAATGCACATGTACATGGTACTATTACTTTCACATCAGCTGTTTTCATGTCATGATTATTTAAAATCCATTAGATATTGTAAAGTAAAATAGCGGGCCATTGGAGTCCTAAAGACATGAAATGCTTGGTTAAAGTGACACAAAACTTGGAAGTTAAATCTTAAAAATCCATTTAAGTACCCTATTAACAAAAATGTAGCTTTTTTGTGCCTCACTCAGCTGTAGAGCCTAACATCATCTCTGAATTGCTGCCGACACTGTCCTTCCTTCTGGAGGGTGGCTACTTTTGTTCCCCATGGTCCCTGTGTGTGTTGTAAAGTAGCCACCGCTCCAAGCTCACTCCTGTAATGGACTACAGTCCCACGTTTAGTGAACTAATTTGTATTGAGATTGTGGTGTATCATGGGAGCAAGCTTGGATGTGATGCCTACTTTACAACACACACAGGGACCATGGGGAACAAAAGTAGCCACCCTCCAGAAGGCTTAGACGCTGCAAAATAATTTATTGCTATAAATCATAAATAATTTGAGGTTTTAAGTTATATATTGTATATATACACACACACAACATTCTATTTCATATAAAATAAAGCATTTCATTTTGTTCACATGCATATTTACAATGTAAAAGCAATTTTATGTTAGATTAAGATCTTTTAACTATTTATATCAGTACCCATCCCACAAATGAGCATACATTTTAATGACCCTTCCACCTTTCTGGCCAGGTGACAAACCCTATTGGAGGAGTATTTCCAAAAATGTAACAGACTTGTGGCTAGTGATCAGCAAACCAGGCAAAATTTGGTTTACTAGACTTTTGCCAAATACTTGAGAAAAAAATCTGAAAACCCCAAACATAGTGCTTGAACCCCATTAAAGTTTATAGGAGCAGGATCTTGTAGCTGAGGTAGCTGAGCATTGTCATGGGGGGGATGTACTAATGCAAAAAAAATGTTTAGCAGGGAGTGGGTCTTTTAATGCAGCTTAAAGGGCAACATTACATGTACACAATTCCTTTAAATAGCATGCTTGGGGAATGCGTTAAGCCTGAATGTGAAGTTGAACACCTGTTGAAAAGGGTCTGATATGGAATATGAGGAAGACCCTACACCATTTTTTCTTAAAGGAACAGTACAAAAAATTGTACTGTGTCTTTAGGGAAACAATGGCATGGACCCCCCTATGGTTCTGGTATGTGTATTTTTAGGGGGATCCTAGGCAAGAAACAAAAATTATGTGGGTGACCCCCTAAAAATCCATACTACACCCCTATTCAGTGTATAAGGGTGTGGTATGGATATTAAGGGGACCTCCACACAGTTTGCTTACTTAAAGGGCATAGCGTGCCTTCATGGCAATAAAAAATGGTCTTGGGTTCTCCGAAAATTCATACCCGACCCTTATCCTTAAAAAGGGTCTGATATGGATTTTGAGGATGACTCCAGGCAAAAAAAAAACCCAGCGTGGGATTCCCCATAATTAATGCCAGATCCTTATCCAAGAAAGAGAGGGCAGCAAGCATGCGCGTCACTTGTGACATTTCAATAAAGTTCAACAAAAAAGAAAGTGCAATGCGGCTTGATTGAGCTGCTGCCTGGGAGCAGTGGCGCTGTTTGGAGGACATGCAAACCAGCTGCCGTGCGGTTGAGCGTACCCTTACCTTTTTCCTTTGTTTGTGGAATTTGCCCACTGGCAAAATATGTACTGTATCATTTCTCTGGAGCTCAGGTCAGCCTTGGTTGATATACTATAGTAAAATACTTGTTGATCTTGATCCCTCTGCCGTTTGGCTTTACCATTATTCACAAGCTTTGGTTTTAACAGAGGACTGATAGTTTGATACAAAGTCATACTGTGCCTGCTCATTAGTCTGTGTGCTGGACTATTGTCCAGGCCTTGGCTGGGTATATTTCTTTGACAGCAAACTCAAACTCAGTGGCAACCTGTTTTGTTTTATGAATCAGTCTCTTGGCTGTTTTTTATTGCCGATTCTGCATTACTATTTCTTTGAGGATATCCTGGTGGTGACGTCCGGTGATGAAAATCTTACTGAATTGCTTAAAAGGTTAGTTTACCTTCCCAATAAAATTGTCCATGCATTCAAGCATCCCAAGCACATTAAAATGGCCACATCAGTATGCCATAGTTGGTGGCTTTTACCCTTCTGCTATAAATTAACTTGCACCAGAACAGGTTCCCCTGGCAGTCCTCTGGAAATTAATAGCAGTCATCAGCCTCTAATGACCGCTATTATCAAAAATTCTGGGTGACGACCGCCGCAGTCTATCAGCTTCTCACCACCTGGAGCTGCTCCAGGCTGGGATCTATTTCTCATCGGATCCCTGCTGCTCCCCCCTGCCGGAGGAGGGGGGTCTCAGAGGAGGGAGCCGCTTGTTAGGATGGCCGAGAGGGAGGAGCCGGAGGAGCAGTAAATGTGTGATATTTACCGATCATCTGTGTGCAGCACAATCGCTGATCACTCCAGTGTTTGTAAACAACTGTCACGCCTGCTCTGACTGTAACTGATAGGATCTCAACTGCGGAGGTTATATGTTGAGGTAAGTATGAGGTGAAGGCTTCTCAGGCGTGAATCTCAGGCGTCGCTCCCAATCTTTATCGGGGAGTTTGAGATTCTTGCATCATAGCCTTATAACAAAAATAAAAAAGGGGAGAGAGGTGTGGGCTATTGCTTCATAGCTTACAGTCTCTATATAGCAAGGAAAACTTGGATATGGATAGGCAATGAGGAACAATGATCACTTATAGGCAGGTATTGAGCAATGCGAAATTCCCAACAGACAGCTGATAGTAATCCTCTAGACAGTCTATATCACTTAGAGAGGTCGCTTCACAATATCAAGGCTTCTGGCTCCAACAGGCCAATACTTGCGGTTTGCACAATGTGAAGGATGCAGGGATTCCTGTACTGGAAGAGGAACGATCCGGCTCTGACAATCCAAGGGAGATGGTCCTAGGCTTCAGGAGGCAACAGGCGCTTCTGAACCCAATTGTGGAACGCCATGTTGCCTCAGCTGAGCCTTTAAATACCCCCAGGAAGCAGGAGGAGCCGTCGGCCGGAACGAGCGGCTTCCGCGTTCCACAGTGGAACGCAAGCCGCTCGCCTCGCAATCAGGAAGTCGAGCGGCTTCCCCGTTCCACCGTGGAACGCAGAGCGGCCGCTTCAGCAGAGGGGACGGTCGGAGTGACACTTCCCCGCCGGGACTCTTTACAACAACTGGGGACACACAGTACTATGTGTACCCAGTTATGAATGAACGGGAAGTGCTTTACATCTTTCCCTTGCATGCATGGACCTCTTGTTGGCAGCATATTTGTAATGAAGGCGTGTTATACACGCAGATATGCATTCAGTTTGGCGATGTATTATTTAGATTTGATGCAGATGAATATTTACCTTGTGTTTATGGATACTTTAGATTACCTCCATTTCTTCCTGAAGAAGCGAAGCACATTAAAGATCAGGCCACTCATACCCTCTACATAAAGAAGGGACATTATGCACAATAGAAAAATATTTTATTGACTTGTGGCAATTGGAGGTTCACTTTATGGTACTGGAGATTACTTGATAAAATCCATACAAACAAGGGACAACATACATGTTAGACTATTTTTACATATATTTATGCTACCAAAGTGTTTGTTTTTTTAAAAATAGTTTTTAATGTATTATCTAATATATTGAATGTTTTTATAAAAAGAAAGTTATAGTGCATGGCTGTGTCTTTAGGAACCTAAAAAGCCCCCATAAAAGAGAGATTTTGTGATGTGAATGGTACTGAGGTGTGAATGCCTACCACCCATTGCATTTACAGTGAATAAACTAGTGCCGTTTTAGGACTGCTTTTTTCTGTCTGTTGCAGCAGCAAGTTCTGTTTATGTTTAGCTGCTGCTATCATGCCTAGGTGTTTACCCACCTCTAAAGTTGCATAAAATGCAACAGGAAAGGGTTTTTATTTATTGATTTACATTGGTACGTGTCTTCCAGCTCCCCAATGCCCTTTGTTCCACAATCCGTTGCCTATTAGCTTTGAAAATGGAGAGAATTGATTTTCAAGATTCGCCTCCCATTGACTTCAATGGAGTTTGCATTATTGTTCTCAAATGGTGAACTTTTCAGTGCATGTGCCAAATGCACCTGCAAACTAACCCAAGCAAGCCACCCCAACACAAATAACTATAGGTTTTGTCAGAAGAGTAGTAGCCAAAGCCAAATTCATGGTTAGGAGGTGAACCAAAGGATAAGAGGATAGGACAGGCTGAAAAGGCATACCAAAAGGGACAGGATCTAAGAGTGCTTGGCATCAGATCTACTGAAGATGTGGATGGGTTTGAATTACAGGAAACTGCCTGGCTGACTCCCTAGGGCTAACTTCACTGATAACATCTGTCAACTTTATCAAAAACCGCCTAAGAGCATTGTGAATATACAAGAAGCAAGGCCAAAACGGACTAACTGCAAACAAGAAAAACTGATGGGTATTAGGAGTGACTGCAGAAAATGCTTAACAAAATGTAGCAAAAACAGCAACAGAAGTAACCAAGGGCTGCGCATAGAAATATGCATGGACACATATGTATGTGTGTCTCTTAGCATGTGTGCACACTCATTGCTCATAGTGATGCTGAGCTGGCTATTTTTTCCCTTTACCGACTCAGCTTGCTCTTTGACCCATCTGCTTCTCGGCTCATCTGTTCCAGTACTGACCTTGGTGTGTTTCTCTGACCACGATTCCTTCCTGTCCCTCTGGTACCTCGCTGTCAGCAAGTTACTGACCTGGACTATTCTTGACTCTGTTTCTGCCCACTAACTTGGTGCTGCACTGTCCATCTGTTGTTTACTTTGAAAGGTATTTTGACTCATCTCACCAGTGGTCCACATCTTCTCATCACTTGACTTCTACGCTCTCAAGTTCCTGTGCCACTTTATTGCCCTTGCAGTCCCTTTTTTCCATATTCAAATAGGCTTCGACTGGAG